AGCCCGATGCGGGGCTCGATCCCAGGACCCTGGGATCATGACCCGAGCCGAAGGCAGACACTTAACGACTGAGCCACCCAGGTGCCCCTAAAAATCTCCTTTTAATGTTAAAACTTGGGAGGAACACAAGCAATGCATCCTCCCAGAGCCTCTGACTCGCTCCAGCAGGTGCTGTGCGGAGCTGTGCCCTGGGACCTCCGTGCACCACTATCCTGGGGCTGCCTCCCCTACTTTGCTTCCTAGGTCCACTATCTCCTTCTTTCCTGTTTGCATCTTTATTTTACTAAAGCAGTGGTTCTCAAACTTCACGGTGCATCAGAACCACCTGACTAAGGACATCTGTGGCGGGGCCCACCAGTATGCCTTTTTAAGAAGTTCCTGTGTGTAGCTGCTGCCACTGGTCCTGGTCCTGGGACCACACATCAAGGACCACAACACTAAAGCACAAAGTCAAGTTGCTTCCAGAGCTAGGGTACAAGGGAGATACATTTAGAGACCCGGAACATCTGAAAATGTCTTTATTCTACTGTCACATGTAATCAAGAGTTTGGCAAAAGAATTCTACAATGGAAAGCAATGACCCTCAAAATCTGAAAGCTCCTTGATCTTCTAGATTGTGATGCACTGTTGAGAAGTCTGAGGTCATTCTGATCCGCAGTCCTTTATATTGACCTGTTTTCTTGTTGTCTTCAACGTCCCAATCGTGTTGATGGGTCTTGGGAGTGGTTTCTACTCATCCCTTGAACTGGGTAACTGTTGAGCCCTTTCAATCTCAAAAATCACGTTTTTCAGTCCTGGGAAACAATCTTATTTCTTTGGTCATTTTCTTCCCTACTTCCCTCCCCCCCCCCCTTCTTTCTGGGACACCTATCGGGATATTCATCTTCCACTTCCATTTTTCTTTTCTCTCCCCATTTTCTGCTGGCTGCTCTGCTTTTAAGTAAGTTTTCTTCAGCTTCTTCTCTTCAAGTTTTCATTTCTGCTACATATTTAATTTCTAACAACAGTTAAAAAAAATTCCTCATTGACCGCATCTTGTTCTTATGCATTTGACAGAGCATAATTTGTCTCGGACATTAATAACAGTTTTTGCAAATTTCTTCTCCCTGCATAGTTTTTGTTTCTTCCAAGTTCTTTTCTTTTCCTTCCTTTCTTTTATCAATGGGCACTTTACTCAAGTCTGATCATCCTTGCCTGTCCATTCACTCATATTTGAGGGCAGAGCACTAAAAAGCTGATGGGAAGCTCTGCGGACATAGGGGTGTTCACCTGGAGATTCATTTTAGGATGAATGGGCTATGCGCTTGCATGACAGAACCCCGAAGAGTTTGTCTTCTCTCTTGGGCTGGTCAGATTCTCCATGCATGACTCTCCCAATTTCACACATGGAGGTGTAAGCCTGGCTGACAGCATCCTGAGACATGAGAAGGAGAAGCGGCTGGTGCGTGGCAGGAGAGAGCATGGGGTGATCTAACACCGAATATGTAAACTTCCACTTAACCCTCTACATTTCAGTACCCTGAGCACCCCCTCCACCGCAACTAGAATCTCTAGACCCTGTCTGAACCTCTCCAGAGGCTGGATCTCTGGGAGCAGCAACTACCAGTCGTGTGAAATGGGACGGGATTTATGGGACCTGCCGGCTCAGGTTTCCCTCACGCACATCTGCTGGGTCAGTCACTCCTCCCCTGGTCATTTCCTAGGCTTGTCTCCTCTTCCTTCTCTAGTCTCTACGGCATAATTTTTTGTAAGGTAATTCCTTTAATGTCATTTTTAGTGAGGGTTTTAGAGGAAGCAGATGGGCAAAATGCCCCCTTTTAACTGGAAGCCCACGTCCCTGTCCTTCTGTTTCCGTTATAATGCTTTATTTTAAAAAAATGTTTTATCAAGGGGCGCCTGGGTGGCTCAGTTGGTTAAGTGTCTGACTTCAGCTCAGGTCATGATCTCAAAGTCCTGGGGTTGAGCCCCATGTCTGGCTCCCAGCTCAGTGGGGAGTCTGCTTGTCCCTCTCCCTCTGCCCCTCCCCCAGCTCATGCTTTCTCTCTCTCAAGTAAATAAAATCTTTTTCTTTTTTTGAAGATTTTATTTATTTGAAAGAGAGACTGAGCGAGCGAGAGAGAGAGAGAGAGCATGAGTAGGGGAAGGGGGAGAAGCAGACTTCCCTGCCGAGCAGGGAGCCCCACGGGGCTCGATCCCAGGACCTGGGGATCATGACCCGAGCCGAAGGTAGTCACTTAACCAACTGAGCCACCCAGGCGCCCCTGAAGTAGATAAATAAAAACAAAACAAAACAAAGAGTAAAGAAAAAAGAAAAAATGTATTATTGAAGTATAGTTGATATACAATGTTATATTAGTTTCAGATGTACAATATATCGATTTGACAATTCTATTTATCACTCAACGTTCCCCAAGAGAAGTGTAGTCACTATCTGTTACCATACCAGGTGATCCAATAATTCCACTACTGCGTATTTACCCAAAGAAAATGAAAACACTAATTTAAGAAGAAATTTGCACCCCTATGTTTATGGCAGCATTATTTACAATAGTCAAGAGATGGAAGCAGCCCAAGTGTCCACTGACTGATGAATGGATAAGGAAAATGTGGTTATGTTATACAATGGAATAGTACTCAGCCATCAAAAAGAGTGAGATCTTGCCCCTTGCGACAATACAGATGGACCTAGAGGTTATTTTGCTAAGTGAAATAACTCAGTCACAGAAAGACAAATACCGTATGATTTCATTTATATGTGGAATCTAAAAAACAAAACCAACAACCAAAAAAACCAGAAGTTTATTCGAGTTACAAAATAAATAAGTCACGAAGAGGAAAGGTACAGCATAGGGAACATAATAATACTGTAATAATATTGTATAATGCTTTCTTTTTCTTCTTACCTGTTTATTGCCACTTGACCTATTTATTTATGGTTCATCTCCTCTGACTGGACGTAAGCTCCTTGAGAGCGGACACTTTGTTTTATATACTGTGTGTGCAGTTCCTAAAACAGCACCTGACACATATTAGGCCCTAACAATACGGTTATAGAACAGAATATATATCATGCCACATACACATAAGAATGCACAGAAAAAAGTCTAAAATTCAGGACATATTCCAAGATGTTGAAAGGTTATCTCTCGGTGGTGGAGTTATATATAATTATAACCTTTCAAATTAATTTTGGGGGGACATTATATTTTCTAAAACAAATGTGGATCACTTATGTAACAAATACATTAAGAGCTGAAAAATAAGCCACTCCTTAAATAAGCCCCAGAGAGGTTAAGTAATTTGCCCAAGGCCCCGCAGCCAGTAAGGGGTGGAGCTGAGATCTGAACCCAAGCCGTCTGGCTCCTCGCTGCAGTATTGCTTCCCCAGTGCCACAGGGCCATTCTTTCAGACCTTTCCCTAAGGAACCTGTACGACCACGGTGGGGTCTCCAAAAAGCAGCCTTATCAGATAGGAGAAACATGATTAGTTCCAACCCCTCCCAAAGACATGTAAACAGCTGTCAGCAAAACCAAAGGGCATAATAAGGTGTCAGAGAGATTGGGGCTGCAGACTGGGAGGTCTGGGGATCCATCAGCAACAGCGCTGCACTCTGCCGTGCGTCCTGGGGAGGGAGGGAGGGAGGGCAGAGGCACGTGTCCCTCAGCTCTGGGGGTAACTGCTGCCAGAGGCTGGGCTAGAACAGGCTCTGGTGGGGCACACAGAGGGACTGAAGACGATCCCGCTTACCACAGGGGACAACGGCTGTTTCGACTTGCGTGTGTTTTATCACCCCCCACTGCTCCCCACCAAAGATGCCAGTGCTGGCTCTCAAGGAAGGGGACGCCTGGGGTGGGCTCCGAGGAGAGGGGCCTTGTGGTGGTCTTGCAGCCCTTGTGGGGCTTGGGGCAGCAGGGATGTTTTGGCAGCAGGAGTGGTCATACCAATGCACCCCAGCTGAAAAGCGGCCCTATACACACGTTCCTTCTCTCCGCAGCTCAGGCGGGCAGGCTGGCGTGCCTCATAAGACCCTTGAAGAGTCTCCTGAAAGGCTTTCTCCCGGAATAAACCCACCCCCTGTCCTCTACCCGGATGCGAAAGCCCAAGTGCTTTCAGAGGCGGAGGCAGGGCTGTGGAGAGGAACAGAGCGGCTGCCTTTCTTGCTCTCTGCCAAAGCTAGCTTAGCCAAATCCCCAGGAAGACGCTGTTGCACAGGAAACATGAAAACGCAAACCACAGACAGTCTGCGCTCCTTCCCATACACATGTTCAAACAAGACTGCTTTCCAGCCGTTACTGATGACTTCTACACGATGAGGTAATTTCTATGGCTCAGTCTGTGGCTTTTGCTCTCCTTTCATTACGATGAGCCAGTTTCAACTTATTTGACCCAGATGTGCAGGCTCAGGGGAGCCGGGGAGAAGCAAGAGCAAAGCATGAGCTGCGTGTGAAGCCCACCCCCATGCCCCTTCCACATGGGCCAAGCAGAGCCACCCAGGTGACAGGGCGGATGGCGGGGTGCTCTATCAAAGGACCCGGACAGAGGGCTGGCAAGGAGAGGGGCTGCAGGGTCTCCTGGGGACTTGCATTATTTTCGCTCCTCTTGGGGATCTCCCCTGACGAGGTGACCCTCTCCTCAGCCCGGGCCTCATGGTGGCCAGAGAGCAGGCGGGAGGCTGGAGAGGACGCGGTCCGTGTCCTGCACCACAAGGATGCTGGAAGTACTCAAGGGGAGGCCTGAAGAGACTTCCAGATCAAAAATAAACAGGGATGAAGGGTGTGGTCAGGATCCTACTGGAAGCTCTGGCCGCTCCACAGCGAACCTTCAAACCACTAATTACCTGTCTCCAGGACAGCTCAGAGATGCTATTAGAGGCAGAGGAAAGGCAGATGCAGATTTTAGCCAGGACCTGGATCTGACAGGCTCCTTCCCTCCTCCTCCTCAGTTCTCGGAGGCCCCGGAGGGAGAGGAGGGGCGAATGACAGGACCCAATGGCTCACAAGCAAATTTGGCAACTCTGAATGCTGCTCCAGGGCTGCCTGGGGTGGCCGGCCTTTGGTTACATGGTATCAGAGGTGGTCTGTTAGGAATGGGAAATGCTGCTATACGATGGCTGTGGGGCTTACAGCATCCCACAAAGCTCCATCTGAACAGAAGGACTGAGAACTGGTACTGAATGAGATAATGGAGGCACGGACAGACAGTCCTGCCCTTAGAGCTGAGAGACCCCCACATCCCCGCACCCAGGAAGAAGCTGTTCTGGGGTTAAGCAGACCAGTCTACAAAAGCTATTGGACCGAACACTCGGGAGTTCCAAAACATGGCCCCTCTCTCAACTTCCTGCCTAGAGGCATCGCCTTATTTACTCAGAGAGGAGCACACGGACCCGGTCTCAGCGCAACATCCATGGACACTGCCATATTGTGTGCACTGGCCGGAAGCGGGCAGAAGATCAAAGAAACAGGGTATATCCCCCACTGAGAGGGGCCCAGGACTACCAGAATTATAGGTTATCACTCACTAAGAAGTCTGGATCAGAACCAGGCTGCCACAGGCTGGCAGCACCAGCCGGAGCCAAGCAATGAAGGGGAACCAGCTATCCTGTGGGTGATCCGCCTTCACCCACTGGTCCTGAGTAAGCTGACTTTTCTGCTGACTTGAGCCTCAAGACTGCCACAAAGTCCTGGGACCTTGCCCCATCTGGGAGAGAGAACGAGAACACCAGTCTTGTGATGGTGACTACATCTCAGTAGCTCAGGATCTACTCAATTTCTCGCTTCTGAATGCAATGGCTTCTCCCAGCTTCATGGAAGCCATGAGTCTAAATGGAGAATTGAACAGAGGGAGGAGATGGGGACACAGAGGAGGCAGTGTGCAAGGGTTCCTTGAGCTGAGGTGGCAGGGGAAGGAGAGCATGAGCCAATTAGACCGCCAAGAGAAAGGAAGACCCCAGATTCTGGCTGAAGAATTTTACCCAGGTGTTAGGGGTCTTTCCATCTTGAAATGTCTGCTTGTTGTTATTCTACTGTCCCTCCAAGCCCCACAAGGGGCTTGGCTCCCTGGTGTCAGGAGCTCTGAAGCACCCAGGGAGAAAAGTAGACAGAAATTTGCTATCTTGGGGCACCTTGGTGGCTCAGTTGGTTAACTGCCTGCCTTTGGCTTGGGTCATGATCCCGGGGTCCTGGGCATTGAGCCCCACGTCAGGATCCCTGCTCAGTGGGGAGTCTGCTTCTCCCTTTCCTCCCCGGTTGTGCTCTCAGTCACTCTCTCTCAAACAAATAAATAAAATCTTAGGGGAAAAAAAGAAAGCAATCTGCCATCTTTAAGTGGTCTCAAGTGATGAAACCAAAGGAATAGATTCCTGTGGGTTCACTCACTTTTTCCCCTGCCCCATTTCAAAGCCCAGCTAATGCTAAGAGCCCACCCTACAGCTCTGTCCACAGTGTTGTCCTTACCCAGAACACCCCTTCTACTTCCCAGAACGCCCTCCCATCACCGTGTCCAGCCGTCCCAGGGGCCACCATGTCCCCAGCTGTGGGGTGGAGCTGCCTCCGCACACTCTAACCCACCCGCTCCCAGTGTGCACCTCTCCACAGCTTCATGCTCTCCATTAGCATCTCACAGGTGCATCTCCGTAGACAGGTGTAATTCACCAGAGTTTGGGGTCCACATATCTTGGGGGTATGCAGTACTTGCTGATGAACTGACAAGCCCATGTAATGAGGGTCATTCAAGCTATGAAGGAAGGAGGGGCCGAGGCTCCAATCCAGGCTAATCTGATCATCTGCTTCTTTGTTTTGTTTGGTGATGAGGTTAACATCCTAAGAAATATCTATCCAAGCATCACATGAATAAATTCTCAAATAATTCAGAAGTCTAATACCCAAGCCTTTTCATTGAAATAAACACTAACAATAGTTGGGTATTTACTATCCCAGTCTTTAACGAGTTTACATATATATGAACATATCTACATAAAGGTCTTTTTTTTTTTTTTTTTTACATAAAGGTCTTTTTTTTAAAGAGTTTATTTATTTGAGAAAGAGAGAGAGCACAAAGGGGGGGCATGGCTCCCCGCTGAGCAGGGAGCCCGACATGGGGCTTGATCTCAGGACCCTAGGATCATGACCTGAGCCAAAGCTTAGACACTTAACCAACTGAACCACCCAGGCACCCCAAGGTCTTTTCTTTTTTAAGTACAAATGGGCTGATCCTTTATGTGACCTCTGGCCTGACAGTACATACCTAGCTGTCTCCAAGTGCCCAGGGACAGAGGAAGGGAAATGAAGCTGTAAGTTGGGATCAACCGAAGGGCATCTAGAGAACAGCTGTACCAACTGGTTCCATCCAATGCCATACCCTCATCCCAGGGGTAGGCACTTAATGCCAGATGAACAGGAGGGCCGTCATCCAAAGACAGAAAACCACGGACTAGAGGAGTGGTCGGCAAGCTTTTCTGCAAAATGTGACAGTAAATATTTTAGGTGTTGTAGGTCATGCTGTCTCTTTTTCATACTCTTTTTAGTTTTTTCCTGTTTAAAACAACCCGTTAAAAATGTAAAACCCATTCTTGGCTCTCAGGCCATACAAAAAGCAGCAACCCACAAGCTATAGTGGACAAGAGAGCGTGAGGGGTCCGGCGTGGGTGCTGGTGACTCCAGCGTGCCGATCAAACTGCGCCAACAAGGCCCGCTCCCCATCCACACAGCACAGGGCCGGCTACGCATCCAGGAGGACTGTTGTGGAAATAGCCCTACCAGGAGATGGTGGACAAACCCCACATCAGCTCACTATATTATCAGCCTGCTTCTTCATTTTTAAACACAAATGAACTAACATTCACCAGACGTTGAGAAAACCAGCAGCCTGAAAAAGAATGACCAAAATAAACAACCAGAACCAGATCCCAGAGGAAATGAGATCATGGATGGGTCAGGAGATAATTTTTTAAATAATTCCAATTAGTGTGTCAGAGAAAGTCAATTTGGACCCTGTAAAGCAAGAGCAAGATGCTAAGAAAATGAAATAGAGAGTCAGAGGGAAGAAAATTAAAAATATGATTGCCAAATTAAAACCTTCACTAGAAAGGTCTGGAAGATAAAGTTAAGACAATCTACTGGACTGTAAAAAGAAAAGACATAAATGGGAAAAGCGGGAGAACAGAAGCAATATACAGGATCACTCTAGGAGATTAACACCTAATAGGGTTTCCAGTAAGAGGAAATAAAGGAAACAGAGGGAAGGAAATTATCAAAGAAGTAACAGAAAAAAATGTACAGAGCGGAATAATGACGTAAGACTTTAAATCGAAAGGGTCCAAAAGTACCAAGTACAATGAATGAAAAAAAAATCCAACCTTGACACAGCCTTACAATACTTCAGTACACCTAAGATAAAGAGCATACCAAAATAAGCTTCCAGAGAAGGAAACTAACAAAGCAAGAAAAAAAAACAATGAAAATGAAAAATCAAGTTAACTGTACGAAAATGATAATCAAACTGTCATCAGATGTCTTGTTAACAACAATGGATGCTTGAAGTCAACAGATCAGTGCCTTTAATGTTTTGAGGGAAAAGAAATTTAAATTCTGTATTCGGTCAAACCATCAATCAAAAGTGAGGGCAAAATAAAGGATTCAAGGTTTACCTTTCATGTGTTCTTTCTGAGGAAGTACTTAAGACTGTACTTCAGCTAAGTAAGAGACTAAAGAGAGACATCAAATCCAGAGAACAGTGGATCTAACCCAGCAACGCTGCGACAGGATGTCTCAAGTTGACAGCCATACAGCATGCCTATAAAGAATCAGCTGTCCAGATTGGAGCAGCAGGAGAGAGTGTCCTGGAAACAATATTTCCAGGAAGGAAGGACTTACCATGTAATGAATTATTAAACTAAGTGGCTGGGTAATTTCAAAAACAGAGTAAAGGCTCAGGATTCTTTTAACCACAATTAAAAAAAAAAAAAAAGAGGCAACTAGAAACTTTATGAAAAAGGAAAAACTTAAAAAAATGGCTCAAATATGAAGTAAACTAAAAAGCAGCACGATTTGGAGGAACTGCTGGGATGTGAGAACAGGGCATCCATTTGACCTAGACATCAGACGCATCCTCCTTCCAGGGGCATGGGGATCTCAAGTACTGGGCAGGTGGGAGAGGAACTAGAATCCCAGCACTCTGCTTGAGTGTGTAGTGCACATTAATCTGGCCACCATAATGTCAACGCTGTTTACTGGCGGGCAGCTCAGAATCCACTTACAGACAAAGTACACAAGACTTGATTACAATCATGCAACAGAACATACCATAAAACAATGTGAAATATAAGCATGGCTGACAGAGAAGTCAGGAGACAGCAAAGCAAGTGAAGGCTAGAGGCACGGACGGATATTCTTAACTGACAGAGTGACAACCTCAAGGAAAGGGATCAAGGGCTACAGGTTTCAGTGTATTTAGGATTCCAAAGGCAATTTTTAAAAACCCTAAAAATAATAATATAAACATTAAAAATTGGAAGGGGAGGGGAGGGAGGGTGTGAAATGTATAAAGGAGCTAAACCTCTCCATCTCCACTGTGGGGGACCAAGAAGGTCAAAATGTGACAAATCAAGGAGTTGCATTATCTCACTTTTCAGTTAAGGGTCTAGAAGAGACTACCAGAAGCACTAACCCCAGAAATTCTCTTCATGGTAGTTGCTTCTGGAAAGTAGGACCAGGGTGGGGCAGGGTGGTACAAAAGCCTGTTCCTGGCCATGTATATAAGCCTTTCAGTACTATCTGATGACTTGACCATGTGACTGTATGACTTTGATGAATGGCCTACCCCTACGACAGAGAGACCTATTCAGTAGTTCCAGATTCTGTATTCAAGAAAGCTCCATAAGCATTTGTGATGAATAGTTCTAGTTAAGAATCGCACTACTAAATAAACCTCTAGAGTTCCATTCAAACTTGAGATACTGTGGTTCTATGCTCTCATAGGACACTGAAGCCCACGGAGGTGGGCTAGCCAGCGATCTGATTCCTCGTTTTCCATGAGAGAAACTGAGTCTCAGAGCAATTCCATGACTTGCCCTGGTGTCACCCACTGGCCGAAAGCCTGGGGTGTTTCTCATGTTAGATGATGGGGCTCTTCAACACCCCGCCCAGGAGGTAACCTTTCTGGCAAGACTTTCCCTGTTGGTCACTGCTCCGAGAACTCTTATCCTTCAGCTCAGCTGCAATGGGAGGCCTGCCGAGAATACCCACAGGGGATGGGGTGACAGGCCCATGCCAGTACGTGCTGGAGTGGAGCCCACGGAGCCTGGTACCGAGCCTTCTCCTCCAGTAGCTGGGGGACCTCCCCACACTGCCCTATTCTGCCAGGGCTGGCCCCATGCTGGAGCACAGAGAAAAGAGTCAGGCCACACCACTTCCCTGCGCCAGAGAAAAGGTGGTATGCAGAAACAGAAGTCTGCTAGCACCCGAAACCCAGAGGAAGGAGGCCTTAATCAAACACTTTCAGTTACAGTGACTGGAAACCAAATTTGAGAATGAAGGCAGGACTCTACAAATTAGTGGGAGAAAATTCTTAGCTCTGCTAAGAACCTGCTGGTTTTTCTTAACTTTGTTTTTGTTTTGTTCTTAACTTTTAATTGGTAAATACATTGTACAATATAAAACTTGTATGTGAATACACATTTTTATATATACACACATATGTACATAAATATAAAATAGGTACTGTTTAAAGACCTAAAATAAGGGGCGCCTGGGTGGCTCAGTCGGTTAAGCGACTGCCTTCGGCTCAGGTCATGATCCCAGGGTCCTGGGATGGAGCCCCGTATTAGGCTCCCTGCTCAGCAGGAAGCCTGCTTCTCCCTTTCCCACTCCCCCTGCTTGTGTTCCCTCTCTCGCTTTCTCTCTGTCAAATAAATAAATAAAATCTTTAAATAAATAAATAAATAAAATAAAATAAAATAAAGACCTAAAATAAAACAAAAGAACACCCATGCACGGAGCGTGCAGCATGCAGCCCGAGAAACTTTGGATGTCCCCTCTGCCCTCCCCCTACCAGGGATAATCGCTTTGCTGAATTAGGCAGTCATCATTTCTTTCTTTGTCTTATTAACTTTATTATTTATGCATGCATCCCTAAGCAGTATATTGTTTAGTTCTGCTTGTTTTTCAACTTTATCTAATTGGAACCACACTGTGTATATTTCGTGTCTTGCTTTTCTTGCTCTACATGGTGAGATTCTTGATGTGCGTAGCCGCGGCTCATTCATTTTCATCGCACGGAAGAGGCAGTCCAGTGCAGGGAAACACCTTGATGAACTTATCCAGTCTACTGTTTGGTGATATCTGGATTGTTTCTAGTTTTTTCTATCGTGAACAATGCTACCAGAGGAAACTTTTATGGGAATGGCTAGTTTTTAAAATGTTCCTTCCAAACAAGCCCTCACTCTGGACTCCAGGGGTCCTGGTTTTGCCTCTGTAAGGAGCACAGGGAAGAAAACCATGCCTATAGCTAAAGTATCCAGAGTTCTCTGCAACCAAAAGAAGATGTGATCCCTAGGTTCCCTCTACTCCCTGCCCCGGCCTCACTCACACACAGACGCCTTCCTCCTCTGAACCCGAGATTCCACGCCCCTGCTCTACATTGGGGAAAACAATTGGCCTTTTTAGACACGGTCTGGATTTCTGAGTCACACCTCTCTCTCTACTATCCCCACCCTCCCACGTCCCCCAGGTAAGAGAGAACAGAGATCTTATGAAAGGGCTCCATTGATGGCCATAGGCGTGAGAGCGTGAGAGCTGAAGAAGCAGATGATCCAGGCTCTGCCCTGCATGGACGGCCAGGGCAGCACTGACATGCCAGCCATCTGGCCCACTCGGCCCTCACGTTTGCCACATGGCCACAGGGGGAAGAAAGGAAACCTGCCCATGGTCAGGGCCAGGCATTTTCCCACGTTATCTATACTGTTCCATTTAAGGCTCATGCAATCTTAAAGGGAGAAACCCCATAACAGAAGATGACTAACACTTAACCAAATATACATCATATGCCAGTCACTGTGCCAAGTGTTTTATATGCCTTATTCCATGGGTCATAACCCATGACAATGATGATGAGATTAATTTAGGAAGTTAAGACCAGCATTTAAAAGGAAACAGACAAGACTGGAATTCAGTTGAAAATACTAGTGAGTGTCTGGTAAAGTAAGGGTAAGTATTGTTTTGTGAACCTTTTGTTTCCCTTATATCCATGTGTGTTTATTCATAAGTACCGGGTCACAATGTAAGATGTATCTCTCACTCTGGGCGGAGGCTAAAACATTTTCTTTTTTTTTTTTTTAAGGGAGGGGAGGGGAAGAGGGAGAGAGACTCTTAGCCGGACATGGGGCGATTGCTCATGACCCTGAGATCATGACCTGAGCAGAAATCAAGAGTCGGATGCTTAACCGACTGAGCCACCCAGGTGCCCCTAAAACATTTCCTTATGTCATTTGTTTCATAACCATCTCAAGATATGTTCAGTTACTAACCTAATTTAACAAGAACATAACTGAAGCGACTTCCCTAACTATATCTGTGTTGCACACCACAGCCATCAACTGCCCCCTCAAGCTCCTGACCGAACAGCCTCTTCTCTGTTCCTCTTTCCTCCTCCATGACACATGCTGTTCCCTCAGCCCCAATACTCCCCCAGCCCCCGCACCAGCTCTTTGCACAGCTGGTTCCTTTCCATACTGCAGGTCTCAGCTTGAGTGTCAGCTCTGCAGAGAGCCCTCCTGGGCCCACAGCCCGAGCAGCCCCTCTCTAGCTCACGGCCACTGAAACGCTTGTTTCCTTGGCTGCTAGCTGCTTCTGTCCCCCCATTACAACTCCAAGGACACAGCGAATACCTAATGCATACACCTAGCACAGCACCAAACACGGAGAAGGCACTTCGTCTCTGTTACACGAATACAAAAAACTTACCAAGTCTTCTCAGCTGGTGAAACGGCAAAGCCAGGATTCCAGCACAGATGACGTCTGGCCCGAGGCTCGCTCTTCAGCTCTGCACTACACTACACTCAGAAACAGCGTGACACTGTCTCAGGCCACACTTACTTAGTAAGAATTAGCACTAGGACAGGACCCGGGCCTGTCTCACTCCAACAGCCCCGGCTCTCTCCAGCGTGTCAACAGGGTGGGGGGCCGTGAGTGGCCCCAACGGGCAGCCTCTTGGGGACAGCTGAGAATTTGGGAGGGACAAAGGAGAATGCAAAACCTTCAGGCTGGAAGAGAAGAAATTTGCCGGTGAGTGGAGAGAGAGCAGAAGAAATCAGGAGAACAGTCAGCTCAGAAACTGGGGGTGCAGAGGGCTTCCCTCAGCAAGCAGTATGATGGGAAGGACGTCTGGAGGAATAGCCAGAGATGTCAGAAAAACTCAAAATGGCAACTGCGCAGGGGGCTTCGGGGGCAGAGGCTGCAGGAACCATGCCTTAAGGCCTCTCCAGGCAGTGTTAAGAGCTGGTGACTCAGACTCTGAGATTGGAAAGGTGGGGCCAGGGCCCAGAAGACTCCAGCAAAGAGGCCAAAGGAGCCGGCCACAGGAATACTTTGGCAATGCCGCCACCTCGTGGTTGTGGAACACTTGGCCCACAGGAAAAACAGCCTAGTCAGTTTGTGGGTTCATTTTTCAGCAGCATTTAGGAAGCACCTAGTGGGTCGAAACCTCTGTTCCCTACATCCAGGCAATGACCAAACCCTGTTGAGTTTACTTCCCTCTTTCACATAGTAACTGGGGGAACGTCCCTCCCCAAACAAGACTACGGGCAGAGCGGGTGTCTTATTCATCTCAAGCTCCAGGACCCAGCGTAGGGCCCCGCACGTGAGAATAATCATAGCAGTTATTATTCAATATGTGCTAAGTGTTTTTAAAGACATTAGTGTGTCTGAGTCTCACATTTTACCTAGGAGGTACCTAGGACCTCCGAAGAGAGATGTCAGGTAGGCGCTTATTGCAATGAGCCTGGAGTCCTTGGAGGGAGGGATGGAGAAAGAAACATGGGCATCACCACACACAGACGGTATTTAAAAACCAGTACTTCTCAAAGTCCGATGTGCATGTGACTTGCTGGGGGAGGAGGGGCTGCGTTTAAAACACAGATACTAATTCTGACTTCGGAGCGGGGTCTGAGATTCGGCATGTCTAACAAGCTCCAGGATGATAGCCGTACGGCTGGTCCACAGACCACACTTTGAGTGGGAAAGAATCTGGAACGGGGGTTAATGAATTAACCCTCTGCCACTCCCCCTGCTTGCACATGCTCTCTCTCCTACTCCTGGCCAGAGGATGAGCTCCGTGCACCCAGCAAGCGAAGAGTGGCATTTTCATTTCTACAGCGGTTGTTTAAAAAAAAAAAAAAAAAGAGAAAAAATAAAAGGAAGAATATGTGAAAGAGACCACTGATGTGGCTCATAAGCTTAAAGTATTTCCTCTCTGGTCCTTTACAGTAAAAGTCTGCCAACCCCTGATCTAGACTATCATCCAGGGGACAGGGTGTATGGCCATACGAGAGAGAGAGGAGGGCTGAGACCTGAAACAAATTTTTATGACTTCCACTCACCGTGCCTAGTTTGGCGAGGGAAAATAAAAGTAAAATGAGCTGCGTGTATACTAATGTTTATGCAAAGACAGTGAGCCCCAGAAACGATGAGTTCACATCTGAAGCTCCCAGCGGGGTAGGGGATGGTAGTGGACAATACTGGGGAAAGGCAGGAGACATCTGGGGTTCTGAGTGGGGAGGAAGACCTGTAGTGAGCGGATAACTGACTGCCTCTTTCAGTGCTTAGCTTAAAAAAAAAAAAAAAAAAGACAAAAATAGAAAGCCAGGACAGCGGCCACCACCACCTGTGTGCGGTATCACAGAAGTACCGGAAAAATAAAAGGAAAAGGCAAAGCTGCGAATTCCACAGGGTTTCTCTGTGCAGCAGAACCTTCTGTATTTTGACTGAGGGTGGGGAGTGTGGGCAGAGGGACTGGGGAAGGCGAGAGAAAGGGGTGGCAGCAGAACAACGACCTCAGAGCCTATAGTCTGGGGGCTGCCCCAAGTGGTGTTTGGCTACAGAGCCTTCTGTCCTGCTACCACCACCCCCTGTTGGGGGCTACATTTGCTTAAATGTCAGTGCCTGAGAAAATAAATACAGCTGTCCATTTCCATCAGCTCCAACCAATCAGGATTGGCTCGCTTTCAGCGGAGGACCAGGCTGCTCTGCCTTCGGTCATGAAAGGCTTCCTTGTTACACATCAAGTGTTCACATATATTTCCAAATAACAGCACCCTTTCTTGGGGGTGTAGAAAAGATTAAACCTATCAAAAGGGCTGTGGAAGGGTATCTGTAAAGCCAAATTACTCTTAAATGCCAGAGGACAAACAAAAAGATAGAAGGATAATACAAAACTGCTGCATACGACAAAGTCAATCCCAGAATTTCCTAGTTGAAAGGAATCTTCAAGGTCAACTGGTCTCTTTCATGCTTCCAACAAGGCTGCCTATTAAACCTAACCATCTAAAGGGAAAAAACCCACATCACGCCTAGCTTTCGACATGGAAGCTAAAACAAAATAAAGGAAATAAATAAGTTCTTCCTCTTTTTTTAATAAAGATTTTTATTTATTTATCTGACAGAGAGAGAAGGAGAGAGAGCATGTGCAAGCAGGGGGAGTGGCAGAGGGAGAGGGAGAGGGAGAAGCAGGCTCCCTGCAGAACAGGGGGAGCCCAATGCGGGACTCAATCCCAGGACTCGGGGATCATGACCAGAGCCAAAGGCAGTCACTTAACCAACTGAGCTACCCAGGCGCCCCCTCTTATTATGATTATTTTTTTAATTTTATTTATTTGAGAGAGAGAGCGCACAGAGGGAAAAGGAGAAGCAAACTCTCTGCTGGGTAGAGAGTCCAACGCAGGGCTTGATCCCAGCACCTCGAGATCATGAGCTGAAGGCAGACACTTAACCGACTGAGCCACCCAGATACCCCAAATTCTTCCTCTTCTTAATAAAAAATCCTGGCAATCCAAAACAAATCTCTGCCTTTTAGCCCATGAATTCCTGCCCTTCCCAAGTCCATCCCCCTCGATTGCACTCACTGTCTCCCGGACTAAAAGTGAGTTCCTTCAGAGAAGTAACTGGTCTTTGCAGCACCCTACACACTGCTCAGCCCCACAGCAGCGTGGTGAGCGAGTCCTCTGTCTACTGAAAGATCTTAGTTTTTCTGCCACCTACTGGCTGTGTGATCTTGGACAAGTCACTTAACCTTTCAAAACCTCAGTTCCCTGACCTGTAAAGTCCAGTCATAACTGTTCGAGTATTATATACGATAACACATGTAAGATAATTAGAATGGTGGCTAGCACAATAATAAGAATTTAGTAAGTGTTGACAATCATTATTATTGGGTTAGTAGATGAAATGTTTTATACCAGGAATCACACTCCCTTCCCCAAATATACTACACCAACCTCAGCACTACTGACATTTTTTGTTATGAGGTCCCATCCTCTGTTTTGTAGACTATTCAGGAGCATCCCTGGCCTCTACCCTCTAGGTATCAGCAGCACCCCCTTTTCCCCAGTTCTGACAACCAAAACTGTCTTCAGAATTTGCCAAATGTCTCCTGGGGAGGCGGGGTGCAAAATCCCCTCCTGCTTCCATTGAAAACTGTTGCACTAGAATATGCAAACCGGTTTTGCAGAGGAACCACCACACCCCCTAATGTCCCACCAACCCCCTCTCCCCACATGAAGCCACTTCAGCCACCACTTGCTCACCACTCAACTGCCGCGGAGGAAACAGGTGATAGGTGCTGTAAATATCATTGGAGAACTGCAACTGGAGCTCAGGGCTGCCCGTCAGGAGCTGGGCCACCTGCTCTACCTGAAACGGTGTCTTCTCTAGGATTACAACAGCATCCTCTCCATCTCCGTCCCCAGAGGTCTCATTCACCTGTAGGCAGAGACACCATCAGTGAGCCCAGGAGCAGAGGCAGAAGCTCTGGGGCCTCCTGTTTCTTCTCCCAGAGCAGCCACCTCATTAACCCAAATCCTTGGGGCAGCACTCGCATCTTTCTTCTGAAAGATGCAAAGCTTCTCCACTTTCTTCTACTTTAGGCTTGCAGGGCCTCTGTCAAATTCTCCCCACTGCACAGATGAAGAAACATGGCAGAGAGATTAAGTGACTTGCCCAAGGTCACACGAATAGTCAATGCGGAAACAGAAACTAGAATCTGGGTATCGCAATTAACTCCTAGCTCAAAAGTTCTCATGGCTAAAATCTTCAGCACGTGCTACAGATGGAAGACAGGTGGGGCTAAGAGAACTAGATGGAATCTTGCAAACAAAACAAGAGACACACAGGCATGGTAGCCTAGGCCCAGGTCCCCCTGATCCTCCCAAAATGAGAGCTCTTGCTAGGAGTTCTAAGGAACCCTAATGCCTACCTGTGGCTGGGCCTCCTCACTAGCTCCCAGGACGGTCTCAGTCTCTCCTCAATCCCTTCTACAGAGCTGAGCACATGTTATTAGAGCCAGCTGTACCTATCTGTCTACTCTGCATTCCTGAAAATCAGGGATGGTAACTTTCATCTCTACATCCCCAGCACCTAGCTCAGTGCATGAAATGTGCAACTGAATCAGCAATTTAATAAACTGTCTCCTCAGGGCTGAGATCCTATCTCCTACAGTCTCTATGTCGTTCCACAGACGACCCAGGAACATTTACTGGTTCCCAGCACCTTTATATGTTAAATGAATACATGATGAACGGTTTGGGAATTCAACAGGTGATTTTTAATCTGCAATACTCTCTATAAATGTTAGTTACTTTTAGTAAAGGAAGACTTAGGAAAATCAACCCTACGTCCGTGGATTTCCTTGATTCTAAGGGTAAACTTGTCTCCTGTACGCCCCCGCTCTCACGCAGGCTAGTGGTACACTCTTCCTCCCCCCCCCCCCGTAGTGCTATTGGTATTTTCCGGCCAGACTCCGGTTTAAAAAAAAAAAAAAAAATCCGCCTCCAAGGCAGTGATTGGCTCACTGCGACCCGCATCCCCGTCCCAGGCTGCCTAATGGTACCTTCCCATGGAGAAAAATGATTTTGTCCCTCGCAGACTCCCTCAGCACTTTTTTCACTCTAAAGCCGGAGAACGGTAAGCGCACAGGGGCGGAGGTACCATTCCCAACGCCCGCTTCCTTTTCTTCTATGCTGGCGGCTTCCGCCTCTTCGCCGTCCAGTTCGCGCTTTCTCTTGCTGGGTTGAGGCGCTAGAGCCGCCATCCTGCCTGGCCAGAGCTGTGCGCCTGCGCCAACCCCAGCCGCGGCCCCGCCCCTCTCGGCGCTCCGGCGGCTGCCGCGTCCCGCCTCCGCGAGCGCGCAGCGACTACAACTCCCGACGGGCTTCGCGGACGCGTCTCGGAGCGCTGGTCCCAGTGACCTGTTCGCGGTGAGCGATTTAAATCCGGCCGCTGCCGCTTGTTCCCTGGCGCTGGCCGGCCTGAGTTGAGCCTGGTGCGGAGGGAAGAGAAAAGGAGGCAGCGAGTCTCTAACCAGGCCGGCTAACGATGCTGCAGTGGTCGGGGCACCCCTCCTCCCCCCCGCCGCCCCGGGTGGCCGGAGCTGGAAAGCACCTTTGGACTCCATGGATGCTTTGCACCTGACACCTTGAGTCGAATACTGACGTTTTCATAAGAATACCAACATTGCTTAGTTAGCGTGGAAGGAATTGTTTCTGAAACATCTGTTGAACCAATCTTACTTCTTGGTCGATTTTTTTTTTTTTTATGAGAGTCGTTAAACCATTTCCATTTTTCACCCATTTTCATTTCATAGAAATTTTCATCGTGTTCAGTGCCGAAAAGAAAGGTAACTGAGCAGGGCAGAAATACATTTCCATACCTTCTTTTCTTCCAGGCTGGGGGCTTCTGCCTCCTCTGTTAACCTAGTTTGCACGTGTCTGTTATCCTATACAGGGATGTGATTTGCAGCTCGAATATGAATCATCTGTCAGTTTCTGGGCTTTTCTTTACTTTTTCTTTTTCCATATAAAATTTTATAATTTCCCCCTTTGTAAGTTTTTTTTGGGGGGGGGCCGTTATTTCTGGCTAGTCCCTTTTTCCTTGGTGTTATTTGACAGAAATGGTTTCAAATTTAGTCAAAAATTTTGCTGTTTTCGCCAATGTCAGTTTTATTTTGTTTTTGTTTTTTTTCAGACAAAACTAATGAGGGAGGCAATTTTTGCAATTTTCAGTCAGTCAATAACAAAGTGTATTCTGTGTCCATGACCGTTTGCTTTTGGATTGATTATTTCTACCAGAAATACTATTATGAATTGGATAAAAGACCATTTGTGAAGAAGAGAGCATTAGTAGGGAGACTTAGGACCTGGAATAATTATCTTCAGCCAAAAACTTGTCCACAAGTTTCCTGGATAACATCCCCCACCTTCTGGGAGTATACAGCAGGAGGTCATAAACTATGTGTAAGACTAGAACAAATGTCTTTGGGGGTAAATGGCCATAGCAGAACCTGTTCAAAAAGTCAAGGCCTAGATGTTATGGAAATTTCTAAGTTTGCATTCTCTTTCTTTCCCCTTTTTCCTCTCCCCCCTCCCCACACCTATCTCCCCCTCTCCTTCTCCTCCCTCTCTCTCTCTCCTCTCTGGAAGAGAATTTGAGCAGAATATCTCTGTTTTAACAAAAAGAGCACTGAATTAGATTTGTAAAGTCTGGCCCCAACGCTAGCTGTGCAACTTTGGGGAAATCACTTACCCTCTCTAGGCTTCCATTTTCTTTGTGCCAAACACTGTCCATCCTGAACAAGCCAGGGGAGATCTCTACTTTCATAGAATTCACATTCAAATGGAGATGAGGAAAATAGGATAATTTTAGATATGATTAAGTGCTATTTATAGAGTGAAACAGGACAATGTGATAGAGCCTGGGGATAGGGAGGAGATAAGGTGGTCATGGGTGGCTTCTCAGGGAGGTGACATTGAGCTGAGACTTGAAGGATGAGAAGGAACCAGCCTGTGAAGAGACCAGGGAATGTGTATTTCAGGCAGAGATGTCAGAATGCTGAAGACCCTAAAGTAGTAACAAGCTTGACATTTTTTGGAAACAAAAATGGCCCTTGTGGCTAGAATGTAGTGAGCCAAGAGGAGATACAAAATGAAATTCTGGAGAGATTTAATTCATTAGTGGCAAATTCACCGACACAGGTGTAATTGTGATTCAAATATCCGTGAGGTCAGAATTGCATTCCTAAAAAGGCCTGGCTCAAGGAAAGGATGAACTCATAGGAAGCCTCAGCCACCAAAGGACCTCTTAGGATCCCAGACAGCACAGTGCAGCTAGCCTTGATGGCAACACCACAGGGCTTTGCTTGGCTCAGGGGCATTTGTCTGTTGGTGATGTTTTAGTTTCTCTTGCTTGGAAACATTAGAAGGCCCTGCACTGCCACATTTAATAGCCATTAGCCATATGTAGATATTTACATTTTGAATTAATTAGAATTAGGTAAAAATTCAGTTCCTCGGTCCAACAGCCATGTTTAAAGTGCTTGATAGCCTCATACAGCTACGGACTATCACACTGGGCAGTACAGATGTGGATCATTTCTACCATCACAGAAAGTTCAACTGCAGTATTAGAAGGTTATTACTGGCAAGTCTGTCAATAAGCATTAATCCTTCAGTCTTCTTGAGGAATCTCAAAACTACTCCCAAAACCTTTTTTTTTTTTTCCCCCATTTTATTTTAAAGGACTAGACACTTCCATTTCAGGCCTTATGATAGATGAGATATCCTAAAAACAGGTCAGCTAAAAACACCTGAATGTGAGGTGCCTGGGTGGCTCAGTCCTTAAGGGTCTGCCTTCGGCTCAGGTCATGATCCCAGGGTCCTGGGATCGAGCCCCGCATTGGGCTCCCTGCTCCGAGGGAAGCCTGCTTCTCCTCCCACTCCCCCTGCTTGTGTTCCCTCTCGCTGTGTCTCTCTCTGTCAAATAAATAAAATCTTTAAAAAAAAAAAAAACAAAAAAACCCTGAATGTTCTGGCTACAAAATTAAAAACATCCATTTGGTTATATTGCTGCTCTCTTAATAAAATTTTCAGAAATGAAAAATGTGGGAGCATGAGTCTATAGAATGGTTAAGTGGACACCGAAGCTTAAGTTCTAAGAGTGATTGCTGGTTTCTGGAAGTCTAGAGCCTTGAGCTTTCTTTCTTTCTTTTTTTTTTTTTAAAGATTTTATTTGACAGAGAAGGACACAGTGAGAGAAGGAACACAAGCAGGGGGAGTGGGAGAGGGAGAAGCAGGCCTCCCACGGAGCAGGGAGCCCGATGCGGGGCTCGATGCGGGGCTCGATCCCAGGACCCTGAGATCATGACCTGAGCCGAAGGCAGACGCTTAACTGACTGAGCCACCCAGGTGCCCCTAGCCTTGAGCTTTCATTGTGATGTTTAAGGCACAGGAGACAAGCCCTGGGGGTTTGTGCCAGGTGAGGGATTGGAAGAGAGCATTTCCCTTAGAGTCAAGATCTCTAAGGTCCACCACCTCAATGGAAGGGCCAACTACTAAAAACAAAACAAAAGCTCCCCACTAAAGGAGACAAGATATTTAGGAAGGCTATCAGTCTCAACATCTGGCTGTGTAGGGAAGAAAAAAATCCCCTGAAAATTCATAACCACAGGCCAATCTTCACGCAGGTTTAGAATTCAGATTTGTACTATGTGATCCAGGAAATTCAAATTGAAAAGTTATTTAAGCTGGTCTTGTATTTTTCATTGACTGCTTACTCTATGCTAAATTGACTCCAGAAGAAATGGAAAATCTCAACAGATCTACAACTCTTTAAAACATTGAAATTGCGGTTTTAAATCTTTTTCCCACAAAGAAAATGCCAAGCCCAAATGGATTAACAGATGAGTCTACCAAACATACAAGAAACAATTGAGTTCCAAGCTTTTAAACTCTTTAATGAATAGAAAAAAGGGACCACTCCCCAGCTATTTTTCAAATGAAGAATGATTAACATACAATATTGTATTAGTTTCAGGTGTATAACAGTGATTCGATATTTATGTACATTACAAAATGGGACATCTGGGTGGCTTAGTCAGTTAAGCATCTGCGTTCAGCTCAAGTCACGATGCCAGATTCTTCTCCCTCTGCCTGCTGCTCACCCTGCTTATGCTCGCTCACTCTTGGCAAATAAATAAAATCTTTAAAAATATATGTATACATTACACAAATGGTCGCTACTATATGTCTTGTTACCACCTGTCACCATACAAAGTTGTTACAATATTACTGTATTTCCTATGCCATACATTACATCCCTGTGTCTTCAATTATTTTATAACTGGCAAATTGTACCTCTTAATTTCCTTCACCCATTTCATCCACTCCCCAACTATTTTAGAAGGCTGGTTTAACCTTGGTAACACAACTGGAGAAAAGACAATTATGGGCCAATTCTACATACGAACATAGATGTAAAACCCTAAAGAAAATGTTAGCAGTCTGAATCCTGTGATTTATAACAGAGGTAGTTTATTCATCATGGACAAATTGAGTTTACCCCAAGATTGTTAAGGCTGGCTTAACATTGGAAAGTCTTCATTGTATTGACCAATTTAAAAGGGTAAAAAAACACCTCACCTTAGTAGATGGGGGCATTTTAAATTTAAAACACATTCAAGATAATGTAAAACTCTTAACTAGAAAGAGGAAACTTAAAACTTGTTAAAAGAAAATTTGCACCAGACCAAAAATCTCTAATAAATATCACATTTAACGGAGAAATGTTAGAAGCATTCCCTTTAAAAGCATAAATGAGACAAAGATAGTTGCTATTGTCACTTTCAACATACTGGCAGTCCTGGGCAGCACAAAAAGACAAGGAACTAAAGTTTTGTGTTTTGTTTTGCAAATTATATGATTATAGAAACCGAACAAAGTCTGTGGTCTTTTAAGTAATTCAGCAGGTTGCTTTATATTAGATCAATATGCAAAAGAACTGTGATCCTTTCTACCAGTAATAGATAAGAGATATAAAAATACCTTTTACAGTGGCAAGAGAAAATATGAAGCACTAAAGAATAAATTAATAAAAGTGAATGACTGATTATAAAATTATTGAAATACATTTCACAATACCAATAATGGAGACATACCATTTTTCTGAGAGAAAGATTCAATATAAAAAAGATCAGTTCTTCCCAAGTTAATCTCTCATCTCAATATAAGCCCGATAAAAATACTTATAGGCATCAAGATTTCTTAAAAACCATAGTAAATGAGCCAGTGTGTCACTGATGCAGGGATACACAAACACACCCACACATGACAGTATAATGGCAGCAGTGACCTCACAATCGGTAGGAAGAAAGGATGGACTGACTAGTAGTCAGTAAAAAATGGCTATTCAAATGGGGAAAAAAATTGGACCTTTGACTAACAAACCAAAAGGAACAACAAAAATCAAATCCAAGCAAAACATTCCAGGGGATTAAAGATCTAAATGGGAAAGAGCTCCAGAAGAAATTACAGGAAACAGGGAAGGATTTCCTAAATAAGACGCAAAAACACAGATTACAGTAATAGGTAAACGTTTTTATATTTAAAAATAATAAAGCTTTCTGTTCCATAAAAGATACATTTTTTAAAAAACTCCTAAAAACATACATAATTTTAATACAGAGGAATAAAATAATGCCTGGGATTTGCCTCAAAGGGATCTGGTGGGGAGGGAATTGGAGTTAATTGATAGGAGCTTAGCTCTGAGTTGCTTACTGTTGAAACTGGGTGATGGGTATACAGGGATTCATCAGATTTTTGTCTTCCCCTTTGTTATATGATATACATGGAATTTCTCATAAAAAAGAGAAAGAGAAAAAGAATATTATGGCAATAGGATATCAGTTTTCACCCACCAGATCAGCAAACATTTTACACTCTGATGATTCTACGTGTTTAGTAAGAACATGAAAAAGTGGGAAATCTTATACACAAATGGTAGGAACATAAATTGACATAACCAGTTTGGAAGAAAATTTGGAATTTTCTACCCAAACTGAAAATGTGTATTTACTACCCAGCTGTTCCCCATTCCGGTTAAATCCTAGAAAATCTCATGGAAACATGTACAAAAATGTGCATAAGCTCATTGCTTTTGATAGCAACAAATGGGAAACAACCAAATGTCCATTGTTGGTACATTTACATGTTGAAATGAAAGTGAATTTCCTGGCATTACATGCATCCACATGGATAAACCTTACATGTGGTCAACAAAAAGAATTTGTAGAATACAAAAACATTATAATACCATTTACATGCAGTACAAAACCATGTAAAGGTAAACATGTGGTCAGGGATGTGTAAGTGAAAAGCCAAAGAAACCCAAAATTCAGAATTCAAAATTCTTCTATTGGGAGAAGGTGATTAAGGGCACAAAGGGGGCACCATAGGGATTGTAAGGTTTTGCTTCTTAAGCTGGGTGGAAGGTACATGAGCGGACAGTATAGTCTTTCTGTATGTAATAAAATAATTCATAATTAAAATTTTTTTTCATAATATATATGTCAAGTCATATTTTACACCTAAAACTAATGTCATTGTGTTAATTTATCTCAAATATATACATATTTTCCAGTGAAAGGAGGGGACATAGGAGGGGGACAAAGGCACAAAATACCCATCAGGGGAGTAAGTTCATTTCGGTTCAACAACAGACTTACTGAGAACAGATGAATGAAACTTTGTCCTACGAGGTACACAATCATCTGCCAGAAGAAAACTGCTGACCTCTCTCAGTACAGAGGTAAAGAAGCTTGTAAAAGCATGAGTTCTAGTCAGACCTTTGATGAGGCCCCTGTGAGGGAAAGCATCGGTGGGTGGGCTTCTGAGCCAGCGATAGGGGCTGAGCTTTTCCTTCTCTTCAGCCCACTTGCTCCCTGCCCCCTCCTGACTATTCAGAAAGGTTTCTAGGTTTGCATCTTCATGTCACACACGAAATAAAAGTAAATAGAGTACAGTGCTGAATGCATCTTCCCTGTAGCCTTCTGGAGTGGACAACGTCCCTGGGAAAGAGAAGGGCAGTAGTGTGTGAAGGACTTGGTACCTGTTGCTTTCTCCTGATGCCAGGCCACTGGGGAAACCAGCCCAGCGTGCAGTGCAGGCTTCTAGCTCATGACCCAGGTGAGTCACCTCTTCTGGGGGGTAGGGGTGGGATGGTGCTTCTCTATACCAGTGCCCGGTTCCAGGGGAAGAAGATGTAGGTATGTGCCAGGCTGTGTGTGTCCAGTGAGGCAGGAAGCAAAACACAGGTGATCTTGGTATCAGCACCTCCTGACACCTACGACTTCTTCCCCATGGCCTTCCTGGGGAGTCCCCAGTTTCCACACGCCTTCCTGGGGGAGTCCCCAGCTTCCCCATGACCTTCCTGGGGGAGTCCCCAGCTTCCCCATGGCCTTTCTGGGGAGCCTACAGTAATGAGTGCCCGATGGGCAATCTGACCCCAGGATTACATACAAAGTGCTACAAACTCTGGTTCCTTACACCTCGTCACAGCAGCTGGAATCCAAGGCCCTCTGAGGCCCTGTGAGGCCCTGGGCTCTCTAACTGGATTTTCAGCTTCGCTCCAACTTTCTGGGTCCCATGGTGAAGTAAGAAGTGTCAGCTGATGGTCTGCAGATCTGCAAGAGAGCGAACAGAATCACAGGGCTTGTCACCCTTCCCAAATCCTAGCATCTCTGTTTCCTCCAATAGGTCCCGCCTCTTCTACCTTTTTACCTATTTCACTTCCAAACCCACTGTAATATAATATCCCCCCCCCCCCCCAGATACACAATTCTTTCCTATTATTTTGCACTATTTTGCCTTCATAAGCTAATGTCCCTCTGGGCATTTTCCTGGCTCTGGGTGGACATCTCCAACCTGACTTCAGTGAGAGAAACCTAATACTTACAATGATAATAATGGCTGATATTTATTGAGAACTTGATATGTGGTAGGCTCTGCCTGTTAGGGAGTACTTTACCTGGGCAGGGCCGTGGTCTGAACACTTGTTTAGTGCATATACTTATTTAGGCACATAGTATCATTCTCATTTGACCAATGGGGAAACCCAAGTACAGAGGGGTCAGATAACCTCCACGAGTAACAGTCTTTTCGAGAGCCTGCATTCTGAGCTACGGGGCTACAACGGCTGTCTCCTAAAAACCAAAGCAGACCAGACGCTGTGGCGCTGCGGCCGAGCTCCCTTTCTCCCTGGCCGCCCCCCACCTCCCCCATGCCCTCCCCATAGCTCACAGCGCATGACTGCTTCCTTGACTTGGCGAAAGCCGCCATCGGGGCCCCGGCCATCCACGAAGTACATGAACCGGAGCTCAGCAGGGTAGGCGGCTCTGGTGAGGCCCAACATCAGCGGGATGGTGCGGCCCTCCGCCCCAAGGGCCTCGCTCAGGGCCTGCAGCATCTGGTACCTGCACCACGGGTCCTGCAGGAAGCCGGGGGTGATGAGCAGCACCCGGCAGTGACTGCTACTCAGGGCCTGGCACAACTCAGACACGATGGCGCCGCCTGGGGTCGCATCCCGAAGCTGCAGGAAGCAGCGCAGGCCGGCGGTGCTGCCCTCCAGGTAGGAGACCAGCTCCTGGGCGGCCTCCAGGTCCTCCTCACTGTGGCACACGCAGACGTCGTAGTCCTTGCTCCAGCGGCCGCCGCTGCTGCTGGCGGCACCCACGTGGGTGGGCGGCGGGGTGCGAGGCAAGGCTGAGCTGAGGCCCGGGGCGGGGGGGGCGTCCCGGGAGCTCGGCTGTGAAACGTCCCTGGAGGTGCTCTCTGCGGAGTCCGGCAGCTTCCTGGGCTTCGACAGGGCCTGCCTGAACCAGTCTGCGGGGCAGAGAAACGCTGCTCAGGCCGGGTAGTCTCACCAGACTGCGACCTCATGGCCCTGCACAGAGGACCCCACACCTGGCAGGTCCGCCCATCGCCCCCCACGGGCAGACCATGCCACCCGACTCTCAGAGACCTACCGCTCTGCTCTTTGGTACATCCCTCAGGACTTGCCTTGAACGTCCCATCATCTTTAAAGGTTTGGGGAAGTCATAAAAACTCTGGCTGTTTTATGAGTCGTGAGAACGTAACATACAGCATACTGGCTATAGTTGATAATCCTGTACTCCCTACTTGAAAGTTGCCAAGAGCGGAAGCCTTCAAAGTTCTCATCACAAGAAAATAAGTTCTGTAATTATGTACGGTAACGGATGTTAACTAGGTCTTGTGGTGATCATTTCACAAAATATACAAATATTGAATCATGTTGTACTGCTGAAACCAATATAATGTATGTCAGTTATACTTCAATGATTAAATAAACAACAACGGAACAAAGAAAGGAAAGCACTCTGACTTTCATCAGCCTGATTAGGAAAGATGTCTTTGCCCTATTCCAGGCCCTTTGATTTCTGGTACTGTCAGCTCACTCTACCCTAAACTTCCCACTCGTAGTGACTAGCCAACCATCCGCTAGTCTGTAAGCAGAGCTCTGTTAAGCGGGTCAGGATTAATCAATTCCCAAACCCACTTGCTGCAGTGAGGGGAGGTGGATTTAGATTAAGGTGGGCTACCCATTATGGGAGGGGAAAAAGGGGAGGGATTGGCATCTGTCTGGCCCCAGGAAATCCCAGATTGTTGCTAAATGGTAAAACAAAAGCATGGAAGAGGGTTACTGCTCAGAGCACCTGAAGAGCGGAGAGCCTAGTGATTTGCCATCTAGACTTTAGAGCCAGGCATAGATCTGATTATAGACCTGCAGCCTGCTTGCTGTATGACCTTAAGCAAGTCAGTCTATGTCTACCATTTCCTCATCTGTAACACAGGTTCATTTTAATTGCTGCTGAAGATTAACTGAGATAATGCCATGTCTGGTATACTGTAAGTATTCCATAATGAGACCAGCTCAGCTTCCCCAGCTTTTGATAAGGACAGAAAGTTTAGTGTTCTGGAGATGAATTTGTTTTCTCACTCTGCTTGGCTCCTTCCTCTAAATGGTTCAGAAAGACTTCCATGACAAGCAACACAATGCTAAGTGCTCTGCACCATGGTTTCCAGGTTAGGAAAATTAGCTGAGCATGCATGGAAAAGCCGTGAGCCCAAAGGACTGAAGGTTCTATGATGCGTGCCTCTCTCCTCACTCACCGCAAAGCATCTAGGCTCTGAGGTCAAGGCCGGAGCCCAGGAGCCCACCATCGTCAGCCTCCCTGCATCTCCTGCTGCATGTGGGCCAGGCAGCCCTCCCACCTCGCCAACAGGAACGCAGAGGAGTACACTCAGAGCGGAATTAGGAGTCGGCTTCCACTCACCAGCCATCTTGCCCAGAGGCTTCTTGGACCGGGCGCGAGGAGCTGGGAAGGAGGATGATGATGCCATAGTATGGGGCTCAAAACTAACCCCATGAGACCAGGCATTGGTAAAGTGAGAGAAGGGAGGGGACTCAGTCGTGACCTTATGGAACAGCCATCCTATAAGAGACAGAGAGAGAAGATCACAAAAATTGTACTTACCTTACTCTCAGTCCCAGTGTGTGGGCTCTAGATGTTCTCTCCTAATGCCTGACAGAGGCTCAGTCCCTCTACTGGTCCTTGATCCCTATCCCACATCTACCACTGGATTGGATCCGGCTTCCAGAAAAACCCAGATCTGTGGAGAGTGGCGAGACAGAGTGGGAGCCCAGCGTGAGCAGTTGAGTGACTGTCCCCCACTGCACCCGGCCAGGAGCACACCCTGGGGTTCTGGGGCAGGGCAGCTGGCCGGAAGCTCTGGATAAGGACTTCCAATGTGGGAGGAGGGGGGGGAAACATGGCGGAGGAGTAAGAGGGCCGTGGGCTCACCAAGTGCCCCGAACTCAGCTAGAGAACACTCAAATCGCTACCATACGATCTAGCAATTGCACTACTGGGTATTTACCCCAAAGATACAAATGTAGGGATCCGAAGGGTTACGTGCGCCCCGATGTTTATAGCAATGTCCACAATAGCCAAACTGTGGAAAGAGCCCAGATGTCCATCGACAGATGAATGGATAAAGAGGATGTGGTATACATACACAATGGAATATCATGCAGCCATCAAAAGGAATGAAATCTTGCCATTTGCAACGACGTGGATAGAACTGGAGGGTATGATGCTGAGCGAAATAAGTCAATCAGAGAAAGACATGTATCATATGACCTCACTGATATGAGGAATTCTTAATCTCAGGAAACAAACTGAGGGTTGCTGGAGTGGTGGGGGGTGGGAGGGATGGGGTGGCTGGGTGATAGACACTGGGGAGGGTATGTGCTATGGTGAGTGCTGTGAATTGTGTAAGACCGTTGAGTCACGGATCTGTACCTCTGAAACAAATAATACATTATATGTTAAAAAAAAAAAAGAAGATAGCAGGAGGGGAAGAATGAAGGGGGGGAATCGGAGGGGAAGATGAACCCTGAGAGACGATGGACTCTGAGAAACAAACTGAGGGTTCTAGAGGGGAGGGGGCTGGGGGGATGCGTTAGCCTGGTGATGGGTATTAAGGAGGGCACATTCTGCATGGAGCACTGGGTGTTATGCACAAACAATGAATCATGGAACACCACATCTAAAACTAATGATGTAATGTATGGTGATTAACGTAACATAAAACAAACAAAAATTCTCATATCACCCTAAATACCCACAGAAACCGACCGGAATACTGGCAGAACAAACTCCACAACTAAAGGGAGAGAAGAAGCCACACCGAGGAAGGTAGGAAATGCAGAGACCTGGCATGGGGGAGAAACGGCTCCTGGCTGCTGCAGAGCGGGGCGGGGGGCGGGGGGCGGTGGCAAAGAGCTGAGAGAGAGGAGCGCACAGGAGATACGCACAGGAGAACGGTTTACCCAAAGCCAGTGGCTTGGAAGGCAAGAGGGACTGAAATTTGTGAGATTTTGCAACTAGTGGGGCTTAAAGCCTGGAGTTTTAAAAGACTGGAGGACTTGGCTGGGATAGAGCCCTGAGGGTACTGCCCTGCTCCTGGAGAGAAGGCGGGCAAGCAACTGGGGGCAGATTATTCACTCTCCGGAGAGGCAGAGACACCTTTCCAGGAACAAAGGAGTTGGCCAGCACCATTTCCCAGAAACAGAGCCACCAGCAGGAGGCAGCTCTGGGGGACACTGGGGGCCTAACCAGCTTATACCGCGCCCCGGCCCCGGCACTCTGGTGGGACTGCCCCTCTCCATCAAGCTCTGGTCTCGGTCCCCGCCCAGTCTGTCTCATTCGCCGGGCAGTGGCCCCCTCCGCCAGAAGACCCAACCCAAACCCCTGCCCACACCATGTCTCCTGACTGAAGTGTTCTGCAGGGCTTCGGCTCCAGTGGAAGGAGTTATCAGGTCACATTTAACAAGCAAACCAGATCACACCAAGTTAAAACTCGCCACATTCAGGCCAGGGACCAAACACTGCTCGCTGCCGGCAAGGAGAGCCTCTGCAGACAACTGGCCCAAAGGACAGGGCAGCCAGAACACAGCAGCAGAGCACATGCAGCACATGCCAGAGACACTAACTGAAGTTCCAGGCCCGGGGCACTGCATGAGCTCTTCTTCATAAGGCCGTTGCCTTCAGGAGCAGAAGACGCAACTGGCTTTTCTAACACAGAGAAGAAGGCAGAGATTTAGATAAAATGTGCACATGGAGGAATTTATACCAAATGAAAGAACAAAATAAGGCCACGGCCAGAAATCCAAGAAAAACAGGTACAACTAGTCTGTCTAATAGAGAATTTAGAGTAACACTCATAAGGCTGATCATTAGACTTGAGGAGATAATTAACTTCAGGGAGACCCTTACCACAGAGTTAAGAAATGGTTGTTGAGAGATAAAAACGGCAATAAATGAGACGGTAAACAGGTGTGATGCAATGACAACAGGGTGGAAGAAGCAAAGGAACAAATTAGTGACCTAGAAGGTAAGCAAGCTGAACAAAAGAGAAAAGAAAGGATTATGCAAAACAAGAATAGATTTAGGGAACTCAGTGACTCCATCAAACATAATAACATTTGTATTATAGGGACCCCAGAAGGAGAAGAGAAAAGGGGGCAGAAAATTTATTTGAAGAAATAATAGCTGAAAATTTCCCTAATCTAAGTAAGGAAACAAATATCCAGATCCAAGAGGCACAGAGAACCCCCAACAAAATCAACAAAAGCATATCCACATCAAGACCTATTATAATTAAACTGGCAAAATATAGTAGTAAGGAAAAAATCTTAAAAGCAGCAAGACAAAAGAAGATGGTTACTTATAAGGGTAAACCCGTAAGGCTAGCAGCCAATTTTTCAGCACAAACTCTCCAAGCCAGAAGGCATGATCTATTCAGAGAGCTAAGTGGGAAAAATCTGCAGCCAAGAATACTCTATCCAGCAAGGCTAACATTCAAAATAGAAGGAGGAACAGTTTCACAGACAAACAAGGACTTCCTGTGTCAATGCTGAAATCGGACCACAGTTGCTATTTGGACAAATAATTATGTATCCAGGTAGATGCTGAGCAGTAGTGAGAGAGCACATGCAAGAAACCTTGGAAGACTTCCTCCAGTCTGCCTTCTGAATAACTCCCTCCATCCACCTATCCGTCTTCCCATAGGAACACCCCTCCCCCCACTTCTTCCTTTCCCCTCTCCCTCAGCTGTCAACTCAGGGAGATAGAGTCACATAGTGGTAGAGTCTACAGACTCTACAAGCAGAGTGCCTGGATTCTCACCTCTTATTAATCGCGGCCTTTGGCAAGCTGCTTAATCTTGCTAAGCTTCAGCTTCTCCATCTTTGAAATGGAAATAAAACTAGAACCTCCTCAGCTTTATTGTGAAGACCACATGACATAATTTATGTAAAGTGGTAATGATTCGGCATATAATGTTCAGAAAATAGTTAGTACGTATTTAAAATAATCTAGATCAGGGCACCTGGGTGGCTCAGTCAGTTAAGCGTCTGCCTTCAGCTCTGGTCATGACCCCAGGGTCCTGGAATTGAATCCCGTGTCAGGCTCCCTGCTCAGCGGGGAGCCTGCTTTTCCCTCTCTCCCTGCTCTCCCCCTGCTTGTGTTCTCTCTCTCTCTGTCAAATAAATAAAATCTTAAAAAAAAATAATAAAATAATCTAGATATTGGAGGGATATATTATGTTCATGATTTAGAATACTCAGCATTGTAATTTTCCCCAAACTAATCTAAAGGTAAGTGTTATCCAAATTCTAGAATGGGGGGGGGGGGGCAGGGATTGTCAGACTGCTTCTAAATGTATATGGAAATGCAGAGGACCAAGAATGTCTTCAATGGGTAGTTTGTTGTGTTTCCCTTCCACCACAATGACCAGGATACCCCTGATGGTGGAGGCTCTTTCAGCCTAGGTTTCTGGGAAGACAGTATGTGGAATAGAGCCCCCCCACCCCCTGATCCGAGGTGGGGCTGCAGCATTCGCATGTGAAGGGCTGGCAGAGAACTTGGCTCTCAAGCTGGAGCGGTGGGCAGAGCTGCTTGCTTTCTCAATCTGACCTGTCTGCAGAGGTCAAAACAGACCCCTGGGAACTCACAGAAAAACTACTTGTTTTGTGAAACACACAGTAATAAATTTCCAAGTTGAAAGGATGTTATTCAAGGTTGAGGATGATGCTTGTTCACTGCTGAATGCTACACACCTTTATGACAAGCCAGTGCCTATCAGACGAGTTACTGATGACTCATGAAACTATATCAAAGTTAAAAAAAAAAAAAAAAAGACCTTAAACCACTGCAGCCAGGGGGGCAGAAAGAAGAAGAGGAGTGGGCACAGGAACCAGAGACATCTTGAAAGAGAAGAGCAGTTCGCTGCTAAGCCAGCCAAGGAGACATTAAAAGGTGAACATTGTCATATATGTGTGTTTCTTTTCCTACCTCATATTCTTTGGATTTCAGACAGTCTGAGTGGTAGGCTGAAGTTAAGGCAATGCCTGATAACCAGTGATTTTGAAATCCTTTTCCAGGTCTGGGGTTGCTGTCCCTCGACATCTTCATTTCAACCATTCCAGATGCCCTTTCTCTCAGTAGCAGACATAATGTCTCTGGATTTTATAAATTATTTAAATATTTTGTCAATTTTGTCTTAATTTTAAAATTCATTATTTGGCCTTGATATAAACTGGAGAATCATTTGATATTCTTAATGGTAGTTTAAAGGTTCGAAACTAACATAATACTTTAATCTTCTTAACAGATGTGGATTTAAAAGTTTCAGTTTCTCATTTTAGGACATGACTTGCCCTTTTGGTCATACATACTGATTTTTGGTAATTGCCTGTTTTCATTGCTTGGTTAAGAAGAAATCCAGTTGCCCAACAGCATATGCCACTGTAAGTGGGTTGGTATAAGCCCTTGGGACTATTGTTACGGAAATGTTTAAATACAGGAAAAAATTGCATCTTTGACATAGGGTAATTGAGCAAGATGACAGATTAAGTTCCATTAACCCT